TCCGCTTCTTCATTCCTGCTTTCCTCTGATTTTAGGTTCCGCCCCCCGCTCATTCTCTCCCAGTTTTAGCGGTTTTCCCTATGCCTGTAGCACAGCTTAAGATTGTTCTCAACCGGGGACCGTAGGAATTGAGGGATCAAAAAGACAATCGGAAACAGCTGGTTTGCATTTCAAGGAATACATAAACACTGCAAAAGAAGCTTATCAAGTGACTTGCAAAAACAAAAATGGTTCAGTTTAAACTTTAAAAGCTTGCTACAGAAGGTGTAGTCTTCAGACCGAAGTGGGAGTTAGTTAGAAAGGCAGAATCTCAGGCCCCAGCCCAGACCTACCGAAGCAGAGCATGCATTTCAACTAGATGCTAACGATTTTGTACACACTTTACAGTTTGAGAAACACAGCTGTAGAAATATCTTGCAAAGGTGAACCGATTTCCTTTCTTTTCTATTCATAAAGGAATTTAATTCACTCATATCCGTGTAAAACAAAGCCAGTGATTTTGAAAGGAGCACAGGCTTTAAAAGAATCATTTCTTAGAGCGCCTGGGTGGCCCAGACGGTTAAGCGTCGAACTTCTGCTCAGGTCATGATCTCACAGTTCCGGAGTTGAAGCCCCACGTCCTTGCCAAGGATTCGGATCCTCTGTCCCCTTCTCTCTCTGCCCCTCCACTGCTCGTGTTCTCTCTCAAAAATAAATAAACAGCGGCGCCTGGGTGGCTCAGTCGTTAAGCGTCCGACTTCAGCTCAGGTCATGATCTCATGGTTCATGGGTTCTAGCCCCGCGTCGGGCTCTGTGCTGACAGCTAGCTCAGAGCCTGGAGCCTGTTTCAGATTCTGTGTCTCCCTCTCTCTCTGACCCTCCCCTGCTCACACTCTCTCTCTCTCAGAAATAAATAAAACATTAAAAAAAATTAAAAATATTTTGTTTATTTGCTTTTTACTAGTTCTCTACTTCTACATGTCCAGATCCTACTTCTCTTTGAAAAGCCAACTAAAATGAGAAATTCTACATGTTTATCAACATAAATTATACTGTGATCCTCACCCTGTAGATTATTTGCTATGTTTAATATGTGATTTTGTTGATTTAAAATCATCTTAACAATTCTTTGACTTATAAATCCAGGAAAAATAGTATATATTAACCATAAACATTGTACAGATATTTCAAGTAAACAAAATGTTGAAAAATCAAATATTAAAGAGCCCCATGGGGTGCCTGGGCGGCTCAATAGGCTAAGCATCTGACTTCAGCTCGTGTCATGATCTGATGGTTTGTGGGTTCAAGTCCCACAGTGGACTCCACACTCTGCTTGGGATTCTCTCTCTCCCACTTGTGCTCACTCTCTCTCTCTCTCTCTCTCTCTAAATGAATAAACTTAAAAAGAAGAGTCCTTTGAAGAAAATAGGAACAAGAACTCTCATACTTTGCTGAAGGGACCGTGGATTGATTGGTACAACGACTTGGGGAACTAGTTTGACATGTTCTGGAAAATAGGCATGTTTATTTTATTTTACTTAACTTTATTTTATTTTAATGTTTATTTATTTTTGAGAGAGAGAGTGCGAGCAGGGGAGGGGCAAAGAGAGAGTGGTAAATAGGATCCAGAGTGGCCTGTGTACTGACAGCAGAGAGTCCAAAGTGGGGCTCAAACTCACTAACCACAAGATCATGACCTGAGCCGAAGTCGGAAGCTTAACTGCCTGAGCCACCCAGAAGCTCCTAGGCAAGCTTTAAAATCTAGCAGTTCCACTCCTAGGTATACACACTAGAGTAATCAAGAATATTCATAACGGCTGGGCGCCTGGGTGGCTTTGTCGGTTAGGCGTCCAACTTTCGCTTAGGTCATGATCTCGCAGTTCGTGGGTTCGAGCCCCGCGTCGGGCTCTGTGCTGACTGCCAGCTCAGAGCCTGCAGCCTGTTTCAGTCTGTGACTTCCTCTCTCTTTGACCCTCCCCTGCTCACGCTGTCTCTCTCTCTCCTAGAAATAAGTAAAACATTTAAAACAAAAAGAATATTCATAATGGCATACATGATTCATAATAGCCAGAAACTATAAACAACCTGAATGTCAATTAACAAAAGAATGAATGATAACTATATTTACACAACAAAAATAAGTGATCTATAGGGTTAAAGTATAGATATAAAAATAAGTACCATGGTTGAATCTTAAAAATAAATGTTAATTGAAAGAAGGCAGAAACAAAATATATAATGTATGATTCTGTTTATATAGTTCAAAAGCAAGGAAAATAAACCATTGCATTTAGGGATGTATACTTAGAGGGCAAACGCAAGGAAATATTAATTTTGATTTGATTTGATTTTTTTAAGTTTATTTATTTTGAGAGAGACAAAGACAGTGTGAGTGGGGCAGAGGTAGAGAGACAGGGAGACAGAGAATTGAAAGCAGAGTACAACTCACAAAACCGTGAGACAATGACCTGAGTCAAAACCAAGAGTCAGATGCTTAACTGACTGAGTCACCCAGATGCTCCATGGAAGTATTTATTGTAACAAGCAAATCAGTAGTTACTTTTTGTGGAAAAAGATTATGTTAGAAGAGGGAGACAAGCAGACATTTGTAATGTGCCTTTCTTGGTGGTTACATGAACATTTGTATTAACATTTGTTAATTTGTGTATTGATGTTTTACGCATTTTTCTGTGTTATATGTCTAGTAAAAAACATTAAATGAGAAGAAAACCAAAGGTTTTTAAATTGCTTTTTATTTAAAAATATAATCAGAGGTACCTTGGTGTTTATACTGTCTGTTTGTTATTCACTCTGAATATAAGCATTGAAAGTATATAATTAGCAATAGTTTAATGAAACCATAGCATTTATAGGATTCTCAAATGGACACAATATATCATAAAAATTAATAAAAGACATAAAAATATGTCATAAAAATTAGTAAAAGATACAAGGTAGAACACATTTTAATACTGGTACAATGGCAAAAGCAGCTTTACAAATGTTTATTATATAGGATTTCTATAGCAATTTTTTATGACCCTTTATTCCACAAGAGTGATCAAATAATCACACAACTTTTTTTAATTTTAGAGAAAGACAGAGAGAGAGAGAGAGAGAGAGAGAGCATAAGCTGGGGAGAGGGGCAGAAGGAGACAGAGAGAATCTGAAGCAGGCTCCACCCTCAGTGCCAGGCTTGACCAGGGGCATGATCCCACAACCCTGGAATTGAGTTGGATCCTCAGAAGACTGAGCCACCCAGGTGCCTATCAAGTCATTTCATTTTTAAAAAAATGTTTAATGTTTTTTATTTACTTCTGAGAGAGAGAGAGAGAGAGAGAGAGAGAGAGAGACAGTGTGAGCAGGGGAGGGTCAGAGAGAGAGGGAGACACAGAATCTGAAGTAGGCTCCTGGCTCTGAGCTAGCTGTCAGCACAGAGCCGACACGGGGCTTGAACCCATGAACCGTGATACTATGACCTGAGCCGAAGTCGGACGCTCAACCGACCAAGCCACTGAGGCGCCTCTCATCAAGTCATTTCAATCAAATTGAAACAGTACATGCTGGTTTATCAATATAAGCATTTTAAGTGCCCCATAAAATACTGTTAGAAATACTCCAATGTTTTATTCTCGGTGATCATTCCCTTTATTCTTATATATAATATAAATGTAGCTAGATTTTTTTTTCTAACTAGAAGCAGGTATGTTTCTTAACTTTATTACCTGCTTAATTTTCATTCATAAATGTGTTATAAACATAGGTCTCATAAGAACAAAACATCACCCTCAGGTCTGCTTTCCAGTCTGGTGACACAACACTCTATTCGGCATCTCAAAGCAATATTTATCTGTGGAAATATAGGCATTTCTGGGAAATAACTAACATATCTTTTTTTAGCCTGTGCTAAATAGGGGATATTTCAAGGATATGATCTGTGTAGCTGCTTCCTGTCAGGCTAGAAAGTTCAAGGAAGATCTAAAACCCCTGTTTTCCTATCCATGGGCAGCTGCTATCCTTATTCTTGGAACTGCAGGAGAGGTTATCAGCATCAAAGCTAATCCTTGCCTTCAGTCACAGGATCTCATTCTAATGATTAAAGTTCCTTTTCCTCTTTGATACTTAACACACTAGTTATGGGGTTCCTAGTTGTGTCCAATGTTAAGTAGACATATCTGACAAGCCGGGGGCTCCCAGAAATACTTGGCAACTTTGCAGGGGACTGACTGATAGTAGTACCAGATATAACACAGAATGCCAGTTAAATCTGAATTTCAGATAAATGATGAATACTTCTTGTAGTAGAAATATCTCCCATGAAATATCTGGGACATCCTTATGCTAAAATAAACTATTCATTGTTTAACAGGACATTTAGCATTTGTAATTGCTAAATCTGGAGTGGCAGGAAAGAACAAAAATCCAGTGAGGTGTGCATTATTACTGTTATTGAAACAAGAGGCTGTTGAGGACAGGAATTAGGTCTCACAGTGAATCTGCTATGGACTTCAAATAATCCTTGGCAGGCCACTGGGGAAAATACAAAGTTCATGTCGAGGTCCTTGTAAAACTTATATTTAGCTGCATGAATGTGGACAGCAAATATCAAAGAAAGGAATATCTCAGACTTCAGTGAGCCAGATAGAATTGCCTAGATATCATTCCTAAAGGCTAGAAATGATATGTTCTAATTTTTAAGGTTATAAGGTTAATATTGGACATTTTGCTTCGAATCCTTTCGGAAAGGTTTGGGCGGGGGCGGAGGGACTTACCTCTCAACTTTCTGTTTACTATCAGACTTTTTTACTGATCAAGTCTGTAGCACTTAGTGAATGCATTAGCTTTCTGGACTGAAACACTTTTTTTTTTAATTATTTGAGGATACGCAAGATGAATGGGAACCAGTTTACTTTCTTAATGCTATAACTTCTTGTGTACAAATCTGTTACTTAGTTAAATTTGAACAACCTCTCCAACCTTAATTTGGGTAATTCCAGGATAAACATCACTTTGGGAAATTGCATTTTCCTATCTGTTCTTTTATTATTGACCATGCAAACTAAAAAATAGCCAAAAACCTACTTTGTATCATAGTATGTATGGGGGCTCCACATATACTTTAATTCTTCAGATGGAATGATATATTAGTATAATTATTTATATATACTCTACTATATTAAAAAAAAGGATTGGGGTGATTTTATCTGTGTATTTTATGGATCATCACATGTTGTCAGGATGAGTTGGCCTCAATTTTGTTCATCAAAGCTGCTTGTAGAAAGTGGCAGAGTTTGAGTTGGGCTTCTAGGGTGAGCCATCTATGGGGAAAAAAAAAGTCCCAGTTATAATATGAATTATGTTCCTGTGGCCAACACAGTTCTCCTTCCTCACTAACAGAATCCAGTTTTTGTGTAGGGCAGCAATGCAGTCAGACTTTAAAAACCACTTTTCCCAGTTTCTTTCACATAGTCAGAGGTTCCTGGACAGCACCTTCTGATGAGGGGTAGCTTAGCTAGCACACCCTTTTGCCCTTTGCCTTTCTTTTTTTTTTTATTTCTGAGAGAGAGAGAGAGAGAGAGAGAGAGTGTGAGCAGGGGAGAGTCAAAGAGAAAGGGAGACACAGAATCTGAAACAGGCTCCAGGCTCTGAGCTGTCAGCACAGAGCCTGATGTGGGTCTCGAACCAATGAACCGTGAGATCATACCTGAGCTGAAGTCGACGCTTAACTGACTGAACCACCCAGGTGCCCCTGCCCTTTGCCTTTCACCTTATCTTGCCTAGAATGTGGACATCAGGCTTCAGGAGGATACGAGGCATTCTTCACTATGGGGCTAAAAGCCACACCTGAAGGTTGGAAGAGCAGTGGGGGCACCTGGGTGGCTCAGTCACTAAAGCATCTGACTCTTGATTTCGGCTCAGGTCATGATCTCACGGTTTGAGCCCCATGTGGGACTCTTTACTGACAGTGTGGAGCCTGCTTGGGATTCTCTCACTCCCTTTTTGCCTTCCCCCTCTCACTCACATGCATGCACTCTCTCTCAAAATAAATAAACTTAAAAAAAAAAAACCCTTTAGAAGGGTGCCTGGGTGGTTCAGTTGGTTAAGTGTCTGACTTCAACTCAGGTCATGATCTCACAGCTTGTGGGTTTGAGCCTGGCATCGGGTTCTGTGCTGACGGTTCAGAGCCTGAAGCCTGCTTCAGATTCTGTGTCTTCCTCTTTCTCTCTGCCCCTCCCCCACTCATGCTCTGTCTGTCTCTCTCAAAAATAAATACACATTTAAAAAATTTTTAAAAAGCTGTTAGATTATGATCCTAAGTAAATAATTTTGAAGGAAACATTTTTTTTAACCCCTAAAGGCTTACCTGAAACTTTCTCCTCAAGGCCCGGGTCATTACTGGAGTCAGCCCAGTTCCTGTTTCCATATTTTCTTTATTAGTAAGTGGGGTTCCACCTGGGCTCCTGCAAAGACAATGAAAATATTACAAGCTATGTTATATGCCAATTTTTCAAGTGGATTTAGAAAGCATAAAGATAAGAGACAGTATTACCTTTCTACATTGACTTTTCTAAGTAGTTTCCGCAGATCTATCTGGCTTTTACCAGGAGTACTGATGAAATAAAATATAAAAGTTAGAGCTTGCCAGGTTTTATCATTTTTCCCAAAGCAAAGCAGTCATTCTACAGGCAACATCCTAGAAAGTAGTTCTATCTGTTATATTAAAAAATAGCAGTAGAGGGGAGCCTGGCTGGCTCAGTTGGTAGAGTGTGCAATTCTTGACCTTGGGGTTGTGAGTTCAAGGCCCACTTTGCGAATGGAATCTACTAAAAAAAAAAATAGCAGTAGATGCTGATAGGAGCATAAGGTGATATAATCATCCTAATAAGTAATATTTCTTGTAATTATACATAGGTATGTATGTCATATATGTAATTATACACCTATGTCTCTGTCTCAGGGAAAAACTCAGCTATTCACACAGATGATGGACAAAGATATTCACTGAAGAAGTAGAAATAAATCATAACCTAAATGTCTCAAAACAGCAGTTTACCTATGAAATTTAAATATAATGAACTGTATATATTAAAGAAGCCAAAATGATGATTTAAACTGATTTTTAGGGTGCTGGAGTGGCTCAGTCGGTGGAGTGTCTGATTCTTGATTTCAGCTCAGGTCATGATCTTGGGTTTGTTAGATCAAGCCCCATGTCAGGCTCTGTGCTGACAGCGTGGAGCCTGCTTGGGATTCTCTCTCTCTCTCTTTCTCTCTCTCTCTGCCCTTGCCCTAGTCGCTCACACACACACACTCTCTCTCTAAATAAATAAATAAACTAAAAAACAAAAGACAAAGAAAACCAAAACTTTAAACTGATTTTTAAGGGGCGCCTGGGTGGTTCAGTCGGTTAAACTTTCGACTTTGGCTCAGGTCATGATCTCACAGTTAGGGAGTTCAAGCCCCGCACTGGGCTCTGTGCTAACAGCTCAGAGCCTGGAGCCTGCTTCAGATTCTGTGTCTCCTTCTCTCTCTCTCTGCCTCTCCCTTGCTCATGCTCTGTCTGTCTCTCTCTCAAAAATAAATAAACATTAAAACATTTTTAAGAAAACCTGATTTTTAATAAGATGGGGAAAGTTCTTGACACATTAAATGGGAAACGCCTTAATTGTATGTACAATATGATCATACACAGGTACACAAACAAATAGTGCACACAAACACACTTCATTGATTCTAAGATATACTAGTTTTCATACCTTATTATTTCTGAAATTGGACTGCTTTTACAATTCTTGCTAATATTTCTTTCCCCCATCCACTCTTTTTTTTTAGTAATTTTCTGTGCCCAACATGGGCCTTGAACTCACAATCCTGAAATCTAGTCTTGTGTGCTCTACTGACTGAGCAAGTTAGGTGCTCCCCCCACAAATCCACTGTTAAATCAATGGTGTATCTTATAATAAACAGCATCATGAAATGGAAATAATAGAATAGACACCTATACAAAGACTAGAATGAGGAACAATAATATGTTAACAGTGGTTATCTTCAATCATACAGTTATTTGAATGATTTTGCTTTCTTTAAACTTTTCTGTGGATTTCCATTTTTCTACAATGAGCATATATAACTTTAAAGTTAGAGATAAGCAAAAAATAATTCTTTTAAGTAACACTAGAGCATAACACAGTACAGTTCCTTACATTAAGACATTTGTAACTCGAGTTGATAGCACTTTGGAGTTGGGTTTTAGGGTGACATGCTGCAGGTCAGAGACAGTAACTAGTGGATTCCGGGTCTTTGGTGATGATACAAGCTTTAAATAAAAAACAGACAGTATCAAAACACACTTAAAAATATAATTCAAAATGTGAAACAATTGCTGAAACAGTGAATATTTGAATGCTGAATATGTATAAGATATATCTACTATTCTACTCAACTTTAAAAAAAATTTTTTTTTATGTTTTTTAAAAATTTATTTCTGAGAGAGAGAATGAGAGAGAGACAATATGAGCAGGGGAGGGTCAGAGAGAGAGGGAGATACAGAATCTGAAACAGGCTCCAGGCTCTGAGCTAGCTGTCAGCACAGAGCCCAACGCGGGGTTCGAACACACAGACTGTGAGATCAAGACCTGAGCCGAAGTTGGAAGCTCAACCAACTGAGCCACCTAGGAGCCCCTACTCTGCTTAACTTTTATTCCAAAGTTCAGAGTATGTCTCTACCTCTTTAGACTAATGGATAGTAGATAAAACTGAGGTTTCATCTCATGGAAATCTCTGCTCCATGAGAGCCAACTGGAGGAAGAAGCAAATGCTCTGGCTGAAGCATAAAAGAAGAAAGAGAGGCAGAGGTCCAAGTAAACCACTAGCTTGTATACCCATGAGCCACAGGTACAGCATTAAGGAAAGCCAAAGGCCAGGAATACTGGTACCAATTGTTGGACTCTATGCTTACTTTCTAGAGCTTGATTCAATGGATTTAGAACATTCATTGCCGTTTGATTGCAATGACCACTTTTGAGACTTCACTTGCTCATACCAAAACAGTCTCTTTTGATCCTTTGCTCTGAACCTGTAACTTTTGGGACTAATTCTATTTTCATTTGTGGCTGAATGTAACATTTGTACAATAAATTCTCTCATCTACAGTCTTAGCTGAACCAAAAAAACCCTAAAACATCAAATACTTATCACAGAATGGCTTCTATACATAAGACTTATACTTATTTTCCAGAAAGGGACAGCCAGGTTAAAACCTGAAAGACCGTATGTATGGTCAGTGACATCTTACCTTCTTCCTTTCATCAAAACACTGTGTCTTCTTTAATTTCACAGTCAGTAGATCTTCAACTGTTATTTGCATGGGTCCATCTTTTTTTAATGGTCCAGCCTTAAAATACACGGAGAGGTTACAATTCAAATTATAACCAGGATATCTAGTCAAATGAAAATCCAAATCTAGTTTTTTAAGGCTTATTTAATGGAGTGTCTGGGTGGCTCAGTTGGTTAAGCATCCAACTTTAAATCAGGGTTCATGAGTTCGAGCCCAGTGTCAGGCTCTGTGCTGATAGCTCAGAGCCTGGAGCCTGCTTCGGATTCTGTGTCTCCTCTTTCTCTGCCCTCCCCCCTTGTACCCTGTCTCTCACTTTTTCTCAAAAATAAATAAACATTAAAAAGATTTTTAAAGGCTCATTTAAATATTAATGGTTATTTACCCTAGGAACCTATTAAATTCTTTCCATTCAATCAAAAATGATGCCTTTTTCAGTACCTATGGATGCTAATGATATTACAAAGTATTTATCAAAATGTAAGGCTTTGATAGTAAGTAAGATGGGCTAGTTCCCTGCAGCTTCCTCAGGAGTCACTATAAGACAGGAGTTGAAAGGGTTCCTCAGGGGCACCGAGGTGACTCAGTTTGTTAAGCATCCAGCTCTTGATTTAAGCTCAGATCATGATCTCATGATTTGTGGGGTTGAGCCCCACCTCAGGTTCTACACTGACAATGTGGAGCCTGCTTAGGATTCTCTCTCTCACCCTCTCTCTTCCCCTCCCCAGCTCACGAGCTCTCTCCCTCTAAAAATAAATAAAAAATAAACATTAAGAAAAAGAAGTTCCTCAAATCAAAGTGAAATTTTGCTTGAATTACCTAAAAAGATGACTCAGTTCCCATAGAACAAGAATGTATAGTCAGAGAGGTATACATTATGGCAAACAAAACAATAGGGTCTGGGTTTAACTCAGCCATTTTAAACCAAATACATCTGTAGTGAAAATCGAGCAGATTTTAAAACAGGGTCATGTTTATCTTGGTGATTCACAAATATTCTGATCCCCTTGGCAGATAAGTAATTAATGGACACTGGGTCCTCCAGCCTAATGACACTATACTTTGGATCTATCATCTCTTTTTATTCTGACTTTACTAAGCCATCTTCTGTTCTTAATTTGGTTTATGAGAATCCATTAGGAATATTCCAGTCTACTGGGTTTCACTTATTTATCCTTAAAAAAAACCCAAAAAAACAAAAAAACCCCAAAAAACACTTGGCCGCCTAGGTGGCTCAGTCGGTTAAGCGTTCGACTTTGGCTCAGGTCATGATCTCACGGTTTGTAGGTTCGAGCCCCATTGGGCTCTGTGATGACAGCTAGCTCAGAGCCTGGAGCCTGCTTCAGATTCTGTATCTCCCTCTCTCTCTGACCCTCCCATGCTCAGGCTGTCTCTCTCTCTCTCTCTCTTTCAGAAATAAATAAAACATTAAAAAATATCACTTTTATTTCTAAATCCAGCTTTTGTGAGTTCCTATGTGCCTGAGTTTTTAAAAACATAATAATTGACATAATTAAGATATGGAACCAGAAAAAAAAATGTGGCTTTCCTCTAAAGGCCCTTAGCCTAGTCTTAAAAGTCTACCTAGCTTAAAAAAAAGGGGGAGCGTGGGGCAGGGGGGGTGGTGGTGTGCCTGTGTGGCTCAGTTAGGTTAAGTGCCAGATTTGGGCTCAGGTCATGATCTCACAGTTCTTGGGTTTGAGCTCTGCATTGGGCTCTGTGCTGACAGCTCAGAGCCTAGAGCCTGCTTCAGATTCTGTCTCTCTCTCTCTGCCCCTCCCCAACTCTCACTCTGTTTCTCTCTCTCTCAAAAATAAACATTAAAAAAATTATTTTTAAAGGCTGTCTTGCTTTACTCCTACATTATGCATTGACCAAAACACATTATTACTGGATTATTTCCTACCTGAAGTGCTTTAGTGCGATTGGATTTTCTGAGCAGCAAAGGTGCTATAGGTGGTGGAGGTGGAGGGAGAGGAGGAGGTGGAGGGGGTGGAGGTGGAGGTGGAAGAGGAGGAAGATGGGTGGCTGGCTGTGGCAATGTGGGAGAAAGTCCAGCTCTAGATTCTCCAGGGATGGTTGGAGCACAGGCAGGCACATTTGTAAGTTTACCACTTATGTGACATGTTTGACTACAGCTTGGGCAGGAAGAATTTTCCAAGACGGTCTGTAAGAAAACATATTTGGCAAAGTAATAACAGATTAATTTGGTTCTTAAGGCTCAGAGTCATCAAGATAATAGCTACCATGCATTGAACGCTTTCTCAGTATACTAAGTGTTGTATAATATTTTCTCATTTATCACAAGCTCATTCATTCATTCATTCATTCATATATTTGTTTTGTGTGTGCTACATACCAGGGACTATGGGTACAATGTGAATCCTGTTTGTCATATCATGGAGCTGACAGTCTGGTAAGGAAGACAGACATTAAACACACACATACTCAGAACAAAACAAAATAATGCTTCAGTGAAAGCAGTGAATTGTATTTTGATCATGAATAGCGAGAAACCTGGGGAGTGATATTTAGCTATAATCTCAAGAACGAATTGCAATTTATCAGGTCTCAAGGGAGATAAGGTCTGGGGAAAGAAAGTTCTTGGGAGAGGGAAAAGTACTTAATGCGGCCAACACTACAGTTTACTCAGGGAACTGATAAAAAGGCCAAGGGAAGAGAACATGAACGTTATGAGCTGAATTGTATCCCCTACTCCCTTCCCCAACTCATATGTTGAAGCCCTAATCCCAGTACCTCAGAATGTCTTTGGAGATAGGCCCTTTAAATGATTAAGTTAGGGGTGCCTGGTGGCTCATTGGGTTAAGCATCTGACTTTGGTTCAGGTCATGATATCACAGTTTGTGAGTTTGAGCCCTGTGTTGGGCTCTGTGCTGACAGCTCGGAGCCTGGAGGCTGCTTGGGATTCTGTGTGTGTCTCTCTCTGCCCCTCTCTTGCTTGTGCTCTCTCTCTCTCAAAAATAAATAAATAAACATAAAAAAAGAAGGAATTAAGTTAAACTGAGGCTATTAGGGTGAGCTCTCATCCAACTCGACAGATGTCCTTATAAAAAGAAGAAATTTGAAGACACAGGAGAAACATCAGGGATGTGTGTGCAGAGAAAAGACCATTTGAGGACACGGTGAGAAAGCAAGCTAAAAGAGAGGCCTAAGAAGAAACCAACTCTGGTAACACCTTGGTCTCAAACTTCTGGCCTCTGGAACAGTGAGAAAATAAATTTCTGGTATATAGACCACCTGGTCCGTGCTACTTTATCATGGCAGCCATTGCAAGTGAAATTAGTTTCCTATGGCTGCTGTATCGAATTACAACAAACTTCGTGTCTTAACACAATTGAAATTCAGTGTTTTTAAGTTTTATTTATTTATTGTGATTTATTTAAGTAATCACTACATCCCATGTGGGGATCGAACTCACAACCCTGAGATCAAAAGTTGAATGCTCTTCTGACTGAGCCAGCCAGGTATCTCTGAGATTCATTTTTTCACAGTACTAGAGGCTAGAATTCCAAAATCAAGGTGTCAGCAGGGCTGTGCTACCTCTCAATGCTCTAGGGAAGGATCTGTTCCTTGCCTCTTCCTGTTTTGGGTAGCTGGGTGCCTTCCTGGGCTTGGGGCTGCATCATTCCAATCTCTGACTATGGCCCCACTGCTTCTCTTTTTCTCTGTGCATGCTCTACGCTGTGTCTCTTTTATAAAGATATTTGTCATTGGATTTAGGGTCTGCCCAGATACTAGTTTATGATCTCCTCATCTCCAAATCGTTAATTTAAGGGGTGTCTGTCTGGCTCAGTTGGCAAAGTATGCAACTCTATATCTTGTGGTGATGAGTTCGAGCCTCATGCTGGATGTAGAGATTTCTTAAAAATAAAAGTCCTTAATTTAATTACATGAGTAAAGACCCTTTCCTCAAATAAGGCAATATTTACAGGTTCCAGAGATTAAGACTTGGACAGATCTTTTGGAGGCCATCAATTCAGCCTGCTACAGATGAAATCATCTCATTTTATAGATGAGGAAACTGAGGCCCAGAGGAGTGAGATGATTTCTTCCTCTGTCAAATTCATCTTGAGGTATAAATTCTGGGAGAAGGGTTGTAATCCCAGAAATTTCACTCCAAAATGGTAAGTGCAATGTTTATTTTTTGAGTTTTAGATGTTGGGATTAGGGGCCTTGTTTAGGGGACTTTGGAGAGAGTGGATGTTTATAGGTTTTTTTCTGCCTATATCAGTCAAGAAAATAGAAATCATCTCGAGTATTTAAAATAGGGGGAAAAAGGGGCGCCTGGGTGGCTTAGTCGGTTAAGCATCCGACTTTCCCTTAGGTCATGATCTCGCGGTTCATGGGTTCGAGCCCTGCGTCGGGCTCTGTGCTGACTGCCAGCTCAGAGCCTGGAGCCTGTTTCAGTCTGTGACTCCCTCTCTCTCTGACCCTCCCCTGCTCACGCTGTCTCTCTCTCTCTCTCCTAGAAATTAATAAAACATTAAAAAAAATTATTAAAAAAAATAGGGGGAAAAATAAATTTAAAAAAATAAAAGAGGAAGAATATAATGTAGGCAGTTGGTTACACTGGCGATGAATGAGCTGAAAAGCATACAGGGGACACTGAGGCAACTCAGAGATTAGCAACAGTAGAAAGCCATGAATACCCTGAGGCTGGAGGGATAAAGGGAAGAGCAGTATAACATCTCTGGAGGTGGGAGAATCAAGAAACAGGTAGACTTACCTGGAGGGAGCTAGAGTGAGAGAGACAACAGCAGCCATCACTGGAGAATTGCCCAGGGCAGAGGATGAAGAGGGAAAACACCCCCCAGCCTAGTCTCTCCCCCCAGCCTTAGTCTCTCATCAATGTCTTCCATTAGCCCAGCACAACCAGGAACCACGTGACATGGAGCTCAGGGAAATACAGCCTGAATGCGTTAGTCCCCCTGCAGTACACAGCAGAGCCTTGAAGCCTAAGGAATGGATCTGAGGACACAGAGCCCCAAGACTAGCACTTGCCTGTACCCATCTCTCCTTCTGGCAAAAGCATAATGGAATTTCTATGGAGGATAATGCCTGCCTGCCTTCCTTCTCTAATTCTGGATTTCTTTTTTATTTAATAATACCAACATTCAGGGGCCCCTGGGTGGCTCATTTGGTTGAGTGTCTGATTCTTGATTTCGCCTCAGGTCATGATCTCTTGGTTTCTGGGCACGGAGCCTGCTTGGGATTCTCTCTTTCTCCCTCTCTCTCTGCCTCTCCCCTGTTCTTTCTCTTCCTTTCTCTTCCTCAAAATAAATAAATAAAACTTAAAAACAAAATAAAACTAAACAAAACCCAACACCAACCTTCACAGCTTCCTGGAGCTTGCACAATTCACTTTCCAAAATGCAAAACCGTTGTTTTAGACTGTGAAGTTCTCGGTAACAGGAACGGGATGGAAAGATGGTATCTTTCAATACTTCTAAGCTCTGAAATTCAAAAATAAACAAGCCTGAATTCTATAAGCAACATGATAAAAACAAGAAAAAAGAGACAAGAAAGTGGTTTGATGTATGTTTTACAGAAGCAAAGGCATACATGACTCCATAATTTCATCTTACCTGAGCTTAGCCTGAGTGCTGTGCTGACTTGAGCACACAGACATGTGACCATGCATACCAAGTATGTAGAAAAACCATATTGCTGAAAATAAGTATGTCAAACCCATACCTGGGCCATGCAGTTCTGGCACCAGTTGTATATAGACCACACTCGATTTGTCCAAAGTTTAACTGTATCTTTGATATTGGGAAATCTGAAGTTCCAGGATGTTCTTAGCCAGCTTCTGCTAGGGGGTATAGCTGCTGAAGGAGTAACCACTCTGTAGGAAAAACAAAACCAAATAAGTAAGAAACTTCTGAGTTGGAGTAACAGCCTCTACTTAAATAAAAAGCTAGTTTTATAGTAGGACTCAGGAGTAGAGACTACCTACCTAAAGCCAAATTCTTCAGTAAATTCTAGAGTTCCAAGATCCACAAATTATTTTTGGAGTACATAGACAGTAATAAATAAAATAAATAGTAAATAAAGAGGCATCAGTGGGGCACCTGGGTGGTTCCGTCAGTTAAGCTTCTGACTTTGGCTCAGGTCATGATCTCATGGTTCATCATGGTTCATGAGTTCAAGCTCTGCGTTGGGTTCTATGCTGACAGCTCAGAGTCTGGGGCCTGCTTCAAATTCTGTCTCCCTTTCTGCCCTTCCCCTGCTCATGGGCTGTCTCTCCCTTTCAAAAATAAATAAACATTAAATAAAAGAAGAAGAAGCATCAGGGATTCAGTAATGAACAAAATAGATAGAAACCCTGCTTTCAATGAACTTACATGTCATGAAAGAAAGGTACAAGTAAGTAAATAAGTAACATATATGGGTTGCTAGATAGCGAATACTATGAGGAATAGGATATACAAAGAGAGAAACGTTGGGTGGAGGTGAAATTATAGGTATGGTGGGCAGGGAAGTCTCACTGAGAAGGTGACTTTTGAGAAAAAAAAAAAAAAAAAAAAAGACCTTAACAAAGTAAAGAGGCTAGCAATACAGGGGTGCCTGGCTAGTTCAGTTGGTAGAACATGCAACTCTGTTTTTTAAGTTTATTTATTTATTTTTAGAGAGAGAGGGAGAGAGAAAGGGAGAATCCCCAGCAGGCTAGGAGCTGTCAGCTGTCATCATGAAGCCTGATGCAGGGCTTGATCCCACAAACCATGAGATCATGACCTAAGCTGAAACCAAGAGTCAGCCACTGAGCCAACTGAGCCACCTAGGTGCCCTGAGCAAGTGACTCTTGATCAAAGGATCAATGGTCATGAGTTCAAGCCCCACTTTGGACATGCAGCCTACTTAAAAAAAATTGAAGAAGCCTGCAATACAACTAGCTGTGAGAAGAGCATTCCAGGCAAGGGTAATAGTAAGTGCAAAGGCCCTGAGATGGCGTCTTGTCTGAGGTGTTTAGGGAACAGCAAGGAGGCCAGGATGACTAGGGTGGAGAAACTAAAGGGTAGGGAATTAAGAGATAATGTCAAAGTCAGATCACAAAGGGCTTGTAGGTCATACAAAGGATTTTAATTTTTACTCTTTTCTCTATCTCTTTTTTAAATGTTTTTATTTTTTTTTCTATTTTTATTTTTTATGTTTTTATTATATCTCTGAGAGAGAGAGACAGCATGAGGAGGAGAGGGTCAGAAAGAGAGAGGGAGACAAAGAATCGGAAACAGGCTCCAGGCTCTGAGCTGGCTGTCAGCACAGAGCCCAACGCAGGCCTCGAACCCATGATCAGTGAGATTGTGACCTGAGCCGAAGTTGGACGCTTAACCGACTGAGCCACCCAGGAGCCCCTAATTTTTACTCTGAGAGAGAAAGACATTAGAGAGTATGTATGTTTGTATGTATGTATATATGTATGTACTGAAATGTAATCTCTACATCTAATACGGGGCTTGCACTCAGAACCCCAAGATCAAGAGTCACACGCTCTTCTGACTGAGCACGGAAAAGATGTTGGAGAGTTTTAAGTAGAGGGGCAATTTAACATGATTTTTAATAGGCTCACGTTGACTACTGTGTTGAAATAGGCTGCATAGGGCAAGGGCAGAAGCAGGAAGACCAGTTAGGGGCTGCTTTCAATATTCAAGAGTGATAGAGAAGAGTTAAGATAATATCATGATTAATGCTTTATTTAAACTCTTTTTTGTAAAGAGAGTTATAACAACAAAATGTATAAAGTATGTTATTTTGAAACTTATTAGCCTCGGTTCCTATAACTTAAGAGTCTCTTTCAATAGCACATCTAAACCTAAGTCCCAGAGAATAACTGACCAAACCAAAACTAAGATTTAAACTCCAGTCCTATACCCCTATTTCACCACTTAGCAGATTTATACAATTAAATTGACTAGGGAAGGAGAAAATTGTCAATCTGTGCATCTCCCATACAATTCTCTGTGATTTTTACTCTTGAATTACGTTTGCCACATAAAATTCAGAATGCTCAGTCAAAAAAATTTATTTTAACATTTATTTATTATTGACAAACAGAGAGAGACAGAGCATGAGCAGGAGAGGGGCAGAGAGGAGGGGAGACACAGAATCCAAAGCAGGCTCCAGGCTCTGAGCTGTTAGCACAGAGCCCGATGCGGGGCTCAAACCCACAAATTGCAAGATCATGACCTGAGCGGAAGTCGGACACTTAACCAACTGAGCCACCTAGGTACCCCATCAGTCAAAATTTTATTTCAGATGAAGTTTGAATAATTTTTTAGAATAAGTATATTGCAAATGTTGCATGGTACAATATTAAAAAAATTATTGTTTATCTGAAATTCAAATTTAATTAGGCATTCTGTGTTTTTATTTGCTAAATCTGGTAATTCTGATGTGGAAAACAAACGCAAATGAAAAATTAAATTTTCTTATTGCCTACAGTCCATTTATAAGTTCTTGAAATAGACAGAATGACCTTCCTCTGGGAGCTCAGCTGGCAAAAGGCAGTCTTAGCTTAATATTATACTGACCTCCCAGGATCCTGTAAGTCTTCTTTAGCATATGAAAATACTTATGGAAACTTCCTTTATTTCTACTCTCCCAAGATATATGTTAGCAATCATTCTCCAAACATACTACCTGCTGATACACATCTAAAGATCTCACGACTATGGTTTTACTAAGATAGTTAGTAAATGACCTTAACCTAAAAGCAGCTAGTCCTTCAAGGTCCTGAAAACCTTGCTTCCAAATTTCTTAGAGACTTATGCTATCCCTAACCCCCTACCCACTTGAAAGTATACAATCTGCCACCCATCACAACACCGGTGACAGCTCTTTCTGCCCATGGGTCCTGTCCCTGTGCTTTAATAAAACCATCTTTTTGCACTGAAGAGGTCTCAAAAAATTCTTTCTTGGCCATTGGCTCTGAACTCCAACATTTTCCACTTCAACCCTATCCTTAACAGATCAGATTTTTAATATTACTTTCTGCTCGACATTTATACCTTACCTTTCTGGTGAGGGTGGCTGAGGAGGAGGTGTAATTAGCTTGGGCTCAGAGTGAGAGGCTTCTCTTTTTTTGAATAATCTTTTTGCTTTGGCTTTTAACTTTCTTCTTCGTTGCTTGAACTTGGGCATGATTTCTGTAGACAAAATTTTTTTTTACATTTTTAAATTTTAGAATAATATATACATATAGAAAACGCACAAATCTTAACACTACAGTTCAATGAATTATCACAAAGTGAACACACCCTTGTAACCAACCTTAGGAAATACATTACTACCAGCATCCCGGAAGTCCCTGAAGTGAAGAAAAATGGAAACCCAGATTTGAAGTATCTTTAGAGAGACTCGGCTTTGGCATTACATTACTCTCTAATATTGTGCTTGTCTTGCTTTTCTTCATTAAGTCAAGTGTATTTCCCTTTCTTATAACAGAGAAAATGGCTATAGTTGGTATTAAAAGTTTCTTTACCAGTAACATTTACTGAGCATCCACTGTGATAGGTGGAGTTGGTAGTGGAAGAAACAAATTTAACCACTGAATGTCCATTTACTTTTACGCACCTTCATGTACATTTTCTCAGTGAATCTTCAGTGAATAAATCCTGCAAGGTTTTATCCTGGGGAAGAGGATTTTTATTCCCCTTTTTACATTAGAGTAAACTGAGACATAAAAAGATTAGATGATTTGCCCAATGTAATGCAGTAAATAAGTAAGTCTAGAAAGACCATGTTCTTTCTAATACTCTATCGTGCAACAGTAGATTAAATAGGAGATATACAAAATCTAAGACATGGGGGCTTTAAAACATTTATTTTAAAGCATTTTAAAACATCATCTAGTGTTAGCTTTTAATTTAGATCCTTTTCTAAAGAAAATGAAGTCAGAGCTAGTTCGATAAGAAGAGCTTTGCTGGTTTCAATTGTTGCTACCTGAAGAACAAAGATGTCCTTATTCAAGTAGCAGAAATAAAAATGGTCTCAAGGGCTGGGCCTCCTTCCCTTAAAACTTACATTTGAATAGGAACAATTGGCCTTTAAAATACACATTCATTCCACTTTTTTCATCCAGTAACCTTTCAATAATTGGTATGCAGCTCTAGGCTTGCTCAGCTCTCAGATTGCACTGACCGAAGAAACCCAGCCTTTTTACCCGCTGTGCATTACAAAAACAGAAGTGGGTTACTGTAGTTACCAAGAGCTTTGGATTTGCAGAGGGCACCCCTAATGGCAATGGGTGACAGTGCATTTTATCAACAGCTCTTTTAGGAGTAAAATTTCCTTATAGTATCTTATTGAATCGATGCCAGGTTTCAAACAGAGTGTTTTCCTTAGTTGTTCTTAGAGGCTTGGGAGACATACTGAAAAATAGTTAGCTGACTTCGCCTTATCACTTATATCACTTCTCCTTCCTGCTGAAATAATGAAAGGCCAAGCAAGGATTATTAACTACAAAGGATGGCTAAAGGACTCATTTTTTTAAACACATTTAAAATAACACAAAAACCAAATTGCTCTGAATGAAGAGGTTTAGGGAAGCCTCAGAGGAAGCAGCAATCTTGTGGTTGCCTGAAAAGAAGATTAAACCTCATCAAACCCATGCCCACAACTTTCTATGGAGAAGTGTCACTGGGAACCTCTCTCTAAGGTGCAGAGTTCATTGGTTGAAATCCCCAGAATCTGAGACTTCCATGGTAACCTCCTCTTTTTGTCTTCAATCTGCCCTCCCCTACACAGCACTCCCCCTTCTGTTCCCTCTCTCCCTTTGATATCTTTTGTTAGACATCAAACTGACACAGAGAACTGGCTTCCTGCCATTTTTCCCCCCTTATACTCACCAATCCCTTAGTTATAAAAATAGACTTTAAAGAGCTGGACATTCTGGTATAAACTTGGCTCTATACCTTTATCTCCACTCCAATGGTGTGCTGGGGTTAGTGTCAACTGCTACATTTTCAGGAAGTCTGCGAGTTAGTTGTTAAACACATCCATCATTAAAATTAAATTATATAAACTTATAATTAGATAATTTATATTAAAATTTTTTTTTAATGTTTTCTATTTATTTCTGAGAGAGAGAGAGGCAGCATGAGCAGGGGAGGGTCAGAGAGAGAGGGAGACAAAGAATCCGTAGCAGGCTCTAGGCTCTGAGCTAGCTGTCAGCACAGAGACTGACGCGGGGCTCGAACCCACGAACTGTGAGATCATGACCTGAGCCGAAGTGAGACGCTTAACTGACTGAGCCACCCAGGAGCCCCCTAGATAATTTATATTTAATATGGTAATAAATATGATGCAAAACTCATCACTTTCTAATGATTTTACTATTATCCATGCTTTTGAGGTTATTCACCTTATTGTATCTTTATAGTGAAAATGCTATAGAATGTTCTTTTCTTTCCAACCCCACTTTCAATGACTTCATATTGAAAACTTGAAATTGCCCATGATGGGAGTATTTAAACGATGGATATCAAAAAACACTACAGGGGCACCTGGGTGGCTCAGTTGGTTAAGTGACCAACGTTGGCTCAGATCAGATCATGATCTCAAGGTTCATGAGTTACGGCCCCATATAGGGCTCTCTCTTGTCAGTACAGAGCCTGCTTTGGATCCTCTGTCTCTGTCTCTCTGTCTCTCTGCTTCCCCCCTCCCACCCCCATCCTCAAAAATAAACATTACAAAAATTAAAAAAACAACAACACTACAAATCAGGGCTTGATTCATTTTGTTGTTGATTGTTAAGAAAGTGATAAAGAAAATGTTAATAATGCAGATTAAATTTAAAAGCATATCTTGTCTGTAATTGTTACATTGTGAATAGCATTAAAAAATTGAGGAATATTCTAGTATTTGAAAACTAGTATTTGATTCATCAAAGTGGCTGCTTATAAAACTGAAGTGAAGATCCAAAGAAATCTTTGTGTTTCACTTTATCTTACTCCGTAGAATAATAAATGAAAATATCAACTGCCATTCCTATTAGGACTATACTTGTTTATAAATTGCAACCTTAGGTTGGCTACAGATACAAGAAGTCTGTAAAAATCAACAATAGTATTCTCTGAAAATCAGCTGTATATGAAATTTACAAGAAAGAACATTATAGGGCACCCAGCTGGCTCAGTAAGTTGAGCATATGATGCTTGATCTCAGGATCATGAGTTCAAGCCCCACGTTGGGTATAGAGGTTACTTAAAAATAAAGTCTTAAACAATAAGGCAGTAAAGAAATAAAAAAAATTATAAGCCCATAAAGCAAAGAATGGGAGCAGACTATGACAGATAATGAATATTGACTAAATTATGGAAAATGGAAAGCAGATGGATGAATGGCAAAAAACTTGGCAGATTAGAAGAGAGCTGAGGCCTGTGGTAGGGAAACCAACTGGAAGCAAGATAATTTACTTTAAGGAGATTCTGGACTTGAAGTTACTTTGCACCTTTTAAAGTTTAAGTTGGGGTTAAAATAGGTTTAATTAAGTCATTATAAGGATTGGATAGGCTTCTGGAGTCTGTCTTCCAGTCCTCTTAGCCAGGCAGTTCCTGGTATTTATGTCCTCTCCCAAAAGACGGATAGGTTTATTCTCTGGAGAAGTTGAACCATAGGGGTGCTGAATTGTGGGCCATCAGGCATAACAATAGCAGAGTCATGTGTGTGTCATCATACAGAAGATATGGGGTTCTTGAACTCAAAAGTGAGACTTTCAATTGGCCTCCTCAGCTCAGCTCCCAGAACACAGGCCACCAATTTTAATTTTCTCACTCAAACCCCCATACCTTTCATTCCCCTTGCAGAAGGCGAGAAGATTCCTCTCCAGGGAAACTGGCTGCCCAAAGAAAAAGGACCTACAGATAATGACATTTAGGGACTTCCCAAAATGGCCGAGTTCTTGATCATTTACCCACTGTGGTATCCACAGGTTGACGAGATCCACCTACTGTACTTCGAGCTTCCAATTTCATTTTTTTGTGCCTTCCTCTGGCATATAACAGCCGAAGAATATCAGTCATTTTAGGAAAGTCTCTAACATGAAAGACAGAGGCCAAAATAAAAAGAGGGGGAAAAATATTTCCATTTCAGAGGAAACGGAAAGAATATAGGAAGCAGAAGAAAACTTGAAATTTTTCAGAAAATAAGCTATTGTAGGGACACCTGGATGGCTCAGTCAGTTAAGCGTCCGGCTCTTGAGTTTGGCTCCAGTCATGATCTCATGGTTCAGGAGATTGAGATTGGCGTTGCGCTATACACTGACAGCATAGAACCTGCTTGAGATTCTTTCTCCCTCTGCCTCTCTCTTTCAAAATAAATAAATAAACTTAAAAAAGAGAGAGAGATGCTGTACTCATGAAACAAGAAGGATGAAAAAGAAACTCTTAAAAATTAAAAGTAGTAGATATTTTAAAAACATATTACAACAGTTGGAAGATAAATGTGTTAGGAGAGAACAGAGAAATGGAGAGAATTTTATCAAATGAACAATACAGAAATATTCCCTAGAACTGAAAGATTTGAATTTTCTGTTTGAAATGGTCCACAAAAGAAGATCCACATTGAGGCATGCCATCACAAAAATAAAGAGGAGCTTCTAAAGGCTTCACAAGATAGAAAACAGTATAGATACAGAGGACTGAGAATAGAATGGTATCAGACTTAACAGCCACCCTTCTGAAGGAAATGTTTTCCATCCTGGAATTTTATACCTTGTCAAACTTTTAGTCAAGTGTGAAGACAGAATTAAGATAAACAGTGGCAATTTCCAGGGCAATAGTGACCAGGAGTCCTTGGAAGACAGCTTTGAAGCAGAACTAGGGCAGGAGTCAGCAAACTTTTTCTGTAAAGGGCCAGATAATAAATATTTTACGCTTTGTAAGCCACCTGGTCTCTGCCGTAACCACTCAACTCTGCCACTGTAGCATCTAAACAGCCATGGACAGTACTTAAAACAAATGAGCATGGCCGTGTTCCAATAAATTTTTTACAATAAATTTTATTTATCGCCACTGAAATGTGAATTTCATATAATTTCCATGAGTCACAAAATATTCTTCTTTTGATTTTTCTTCAATTATTATAAATTGTATAAACCATTTTTAGGTCATGAGAGCTACAAAAACTAGTTTTTAAAACAAATTTT